GCACTATTGATATTTGGCGTGGGCACAATTCGCACATGGAAGCAATGGGGCGCAGCCTTACGAGAGCGATTCGAGCATGTATCAGCTGTCAGAATAACGATCTAGAATGAATGAATTATGGAAGAGTTGGGTACAAGTACTAACCCTAATTGGGTTGTACCCCTTATGGGCTACCCCACTATAGCATACACAAAGTAAGCAATATAACATTTTGACACACCCCCATAGGCAAAGTGGGGGAGAACAAGTGGTTACAAGACCAGTCAAGAAAAGCAAAGCAAGCTTAGGGTGAATCACGAAGTCACCACACATTCCGAGCACAAGCAAAGGCCACAAGGCCAGTTCACATGCAGAGTTATATGATAAGAGAATAAAAAGTACAGTGATCATACCCTAGCAAGTGTAAGCATGCAGGTATATATATATGAATCACAGTACAAGGAAAGTCACACAGTGAGCAAGTGAGGCAGGGTAGGCATAAGGCCTAAAACAGTACAGAAACGCTGATGATCACCAGACTGAAGTGCCTTGGTGAATATATCAGCAGTGTTGGCCCTAGTGGCCACGTAAGCAAGACAAAGCTGACAAAGCTGCTGCAATTCTCGAGCAAGGAAGTATCGCAGAGCGATGTGCTTCGTTATGTGCTCCAGTCAATGCTCCTGACACAAGGCAATCATGGCCATGTTGTCAAAGTACAGCATTGGAGAAGAACGAGGCCGCTCTCCCAAGTCGGCCAGCAGGTAGGTGAGCCAGCGTAACTCCTGTGCAGCCATGGCCCCTGTGTAGATCTCAGCCTCACAACTGGAACGGAGAACAGAAACAGAGCGGGTAGACCACCAAGAAACAGAGCCAGAGCAAAGGCTGAAAATGTAACCCTGTGACGACCGCTACGTAGCCAAGTCGTCAACCCAAGAAGCTTCTGCGTGTCCAGTGAGGACAACTGGACCCCGTCCTCCAAGCACGAGCCCCTTGCCCGACGTACTGCACAAATAGCGCAACACCCTCTTAGCGGCCTCCCAGTGCTCTGTTCGGTGTCTCCCGGGGGCAACATAGCGTGCCAGGATGCTAAGAGGGTAGGCAAGGTCAGGTTAAATGCAGGTCATCAGGTACATGAGGCAGCCCACAAGCTCTGGATACAGGCCACTCAGCTCTACGGACTCATCCGAAGGTGGAGCTGAGAGCAAGTGACCGGTAGGCAGAGGAGTGGACTGTGGCGAGGAGTACTGGAAGCCGAAGCGCTGAAGGACCTGGTGCACCATGTGTGACTAAGTCAGGGTGATGGTGCGCCGTGCTCTGTCCTGGGTGATCTACAAGCCAATATAGCTACGCAGCTCACCCACGTCAGTGCAGATGTGTCTCTTGTGTAGCTCCAACTTCACAAGGGCCAGTGCATAAGTGTCAGCAGTGGCAAAGACCAAGTCGTCGACGTACACGAGGACGTAGAACGGCGGCAGCGAAGTGTCGGTGCGTAGAAACAGTGACAGGTCAGCAGTAGAAGGAGCAAAACCAAGAGCCGCAAGTGTAGTCCTCAGTGTGTCATGCCACTCGCGAGGCGCCTGGCGGAGACCATAGACTGGCCGTCGGAGGCTCCACTGGGTACCTGCAGGAAACGACCGAATGAAGCCAGGTGGACGGCGCAGCCAGATCTCCTCGTGCAGGCTGCCCTACAAGAAAGCTGTGCTGAAGTCAAGAGAGTGAAGCTCGTAGTCACGCTGAGCACCGACGTGCAGCAGTACCCGAAGAGTAGTCACCTTCGGGGTAGGGGAGAAGGTCTAGAAGAAGTCAACTCCCTGTCGTTGGCTGAAGCCTCGTGCAACGTAAAGAGCCTTGAAGGCAGGCGGAGAACCCGGCGTCCGCTTCACCCTGAAAATCCACATGCCATCGACTATGTTCGCCCCAGGAGGGGGAACTGCGTCGACGTAGGTGCCTGTGAACTTCCAGGATGCCATTTCTGCGTCCATGGCTATGTGCCACTGAGAGGAGTAGGGACCCATAATCGCCTCTGCGTAAGAGCGCGGGGTCGGGATGTCTGTTGCATCCGGGTCTCCCTCAGGTGCAATCAGCAGCTGCAAAACACTCAAAGTCCTCCTGCCTTTCCTCAAGGACGTCCGTGCCAAGAGCACACTCACCCCTGACAGACGGAGGACAGTCAAACTCAGACTTAGCAACAAGACTAGCGGCGTAGTCGAGACGACAGGTGGCAGCAAAGTCAACAAGCTCAGCAACTAGGGCAGACACAATAGCAGACTCAAACAAAGGGTTAGTGACAGCAGTGGCTAGGAGACGTGGGAAAGTAGGACTGGCAGCACGAACTAAGTCAGACTCAGGGTCCGGACCGTCAGCAAGAGAGGACGCAGGAGGAGACGGCAGGGGGTGACGCTGTGGAACAGAGGAAGGACGAAGTGTCATATGGTGTGTGCCGGGCACAAGAGGAGGACGCCGACGAGGAACACGACGACCAGCGCAAAGAGCGCGAACAGGCTCACGACGCTCTGTAAAACCTCCGGACTGCTCGGTGTAGGGAGAAGGAGCAGGCAGTGGGGAGGCTGGCTGTAACGGTGGCTGCGACTGGTCAGCCGGTGGACACAGTAAGGGAGGAGTAAGGCTAGGAGAAGAAAGGAGACAAAAAACCTGCTGAAGCAGGGGAACAACGTACGGTCGTGGCCGTCCAGTGTCTCCAGAACAAGCACCAACAGCACCAGCACCCCAAGGGCCAGCGCCTCTAGCTCCGGTGTCTCCAGCTCTAGGGTCTCTAGCTCCAACTCTTGCAGCACCACCAACTCCAGCAGCTCCAATACCTCCAGTACGAGCACCTCCGGGACCAGTGGCTCCAGTACCTCCAGCAGATCCAGCTCCAGTACCTCCAGCAGCTCTAGCTCCAATGCTTCCAGCTCCAACTCCTACAGCACCACCAGATCCAGCAGCTCCTGTCAAAATGATAGTAGGCAAAGTTTAGGTTAAGGGCCTAGGCTTAGAAGCCTGCCATGGGAGTCGAGGTGGTTTGTGCCAAGTCGAGAGAGTCGAGAGAGGAGAATGAATGACTTCACTATAGGTTTGCAAGAACATATAGCAAATGAACAAAGAAGGTGCACCACCTAACAAAGTTTATAATAACTACACTAACTACAGCTACAGGCAGTTACAGATATATTCTAACACTCCCCCATAACTGCCAGAAGCAGGAGTCTGTGCAGCGACACAACCTGGATGGGTACACCACGAACTGAGAAAACAGCAACAGCAGGCAACAGGCAAGGTTACAAAGCAGGTACAGCAGCAAAGGGGGGCAGGCACTCCTGCCACCCCTTTAATCTCCTCCCCCCCCCCCCCCCACCTCAGAGGGACGGGGGCTGGATGTCTCACACCCGCCACCCCAATGCCACTCCCCTGGCTCCCCCACACCCTCACACCCTCCCCCCAGTGGCAGCTGCAGCAGTGGGAATGAAAGGAGGAGGAGGGGAAGGGACCATACCACCCATCACCCCCATACCCGCCACCTCCATACCCTCCCCCCCACGGCTGCACGCGCAGCAGGAAGAAGAAGGAGGAGGGGGGGGGGGGGGGGGGTGGCGGGGAAGAAGCCGGCCCACAGCCACAGAGGGGTGGCGCACAGGGAAGGGCAGGGGCGGCTGCACCGAGGGCAGGCGCGGGTAGGGTAGGGGCGGCTGCACCGAGTGCAGGCGCATATGAGGCACGGGCGGCTGCACCGAGTGCAGGCGCAGGTGAGGCAGGGGCGGCTGCTCGAAGGCAGGCGCGAGGTGAGGAAGAGGCGCCGTCGCGGGCGCCAGGGGCGGGTCCGCAGCGGCCCAGGGCACCGTCGCGGGCGCCAGGGGCGGGTCCGCGGCGGCGCAAGGCACCGTCGCGGGCGCCAGGGGCGGGTCTGCGGCGGCTCAGGACACCGTCGCGGGCGCCAGAGGCGGGTCCGCGGCGGCTCAAGGCACCGTCGCGGGCGCCAGGGGCGGGTCCGCGGCGGCTCAGGGCACCGTCGCGCGCCACGGGGCGCACGACGGGCAGGCAGACGCCGCGCGCCCGGGGCGCACGGCGGGCAGAAAACCGCCGTGCGCCCCGAGCACATGGCGGGCAGAAAATCGCCGCGCGCCCTAGGCGCGCGGCAGGACGACATGCAGCGGAAGCAAAATGGTGGGCCCGTTAAGGAAGGCAGCAGGAAGGTTCCTGCTCTGAATACCATGTGAGAATCGAGAATGAAATGAGTGAGAATGGGTTCACTAGAAAGCACTGGGATACAAATAGAAAACCCTAACAGGGTTGTACTCACTACAGAGTACCCCACTGCAGACTAGAGAAACATACTATTCTGACACACCCCCATAGTCAAAGTGGGGTATGATCAGCACAACAAGCAAATCAAAGCAAGCTCAGGGTGGATCACAATGTCAGCACACATTCTGAGCACAAGTACAAGAAGCAACAGTTTAAAGTTCACAAATGTAAGCAAAGTTAGAGGCTATCACAGAGGGCAAGTGAGGAGGAGGAGGCTGGACTAATAGGAAAGGAGAGAGGAGGCAATGGCGGAAGCTGCAGACACACGGGCAACAGGAGCGGCGCGCACTGTGGCTACCGGAGGCGCACCTCCGGACTACAGGAGTAACTGGCTCCGCGGCTAAGACGAGCGGCAGGAGCAACGGACCCACGGGCGACTGGCGCAGCGGCATCACTGGGCTACCGGAAGCGCACCTCCGGACTACTGGCACTGCTAGCAACACGACGACTACCTCCACCCAACCTTCCTCTACTGCCGCACCCCCCATTCACACACCCCCTGCTACACCCCTAGGTTCACTCACACCCCACCGCCTAGCACCACTCCGTCGACTCACACACACCCACCCCCCTCAGCGGCAGCTGCAGCAGTGGGAGACGGAGTAGGAGGAGGAGCAGGAGATGCCACACACCCGCCACCCCCATACCCTCCCCCACTGCTGCACTTGCAGCAGGGGATGGAGGAGAAGGGGGGGGGGGGGGGGGGGGGGGTGCTGTGCATGGCGCATGCAGAGGGCAGCAGGGCGCACGGGGCGCACAGGGCAGCAGGGCAGCAGGGCGCGCGGGGCGCACAGGGCTGCAGGGCGCGCGGGGCGCACAGGGCAGCAGGGCGCACGGGGCGCACAGGGCAGCAGGGCAGCAGGGCGCGCGGGGCGCACAGGGCTGCAGGGCGCGCGGGGCGCACAGGGCAGCAGGGCAGCAGGGCGCACGGGGCGCACAGGGCAGCAGGGCGCGCGGGGCAGCAGCAGGGCTGGCGGGTTGGCCACACCCGCCACCCCCATACCCTCCCCGCAGCAGAGAGATGGGGGGGGGGGGGGTTGGCAGATCCCCTCCCCCCACTGCTGCACCCGCAGCAGGAGGAGGGAGTGGAGAAAAGGGCGGAGAGGAGGGGGTCCAGGGGCGGCTGCTCCAGGGGCCAAGGGCCAGGGGCGGCTGCTGAGGTCCAGGAGCGGCTGCACCAGGGGCGGCTGCTCCAGGGGCGGCTGCTCCAGGGGCGGCTGCTCCAGGGGCGGCTGCACCAGGGGCGGCTGCACCAGGGGCGGCTGCTCCAGGGGCTGCTGCACCAGGGGCGGCTGCTCCAGGGGCGGCTGCACCAGGGGCGGCTGCACCAGGGGCGGCTGCACCTGGGGCGGCTGCTCCGACGCACGGCCCCCCCCCGCCAGGTCGCCCCTCCCGTCGCCTGTTGAGGCGAAATGAGGGGGGGGGGGGGGGGGGGGGGGGGGGGGGGGGTGCGGGGGTGGCAGGCAGGTGCTGCAGGTCCCCTCCCCCCACTGCCGCATCCGCTCCAGGGGGATGGCAGATCCCCTCCCCCCCACTGCTGCACCCGCAGCAGGGGGAGGGAGAGGAGAAAAGGGCGGAGAGGAGGGGGGTCCAGGGCCGGCTGCTCCAGGGGCCAGGGGCCAGGGGCGGCTGCTGAGGTCCAGTAGCGGCTGCACCAGGGGCGGCTGCTCCAGGGGCTGCTGCTCCAGGGGCGGCTGCTCCAGGGGCGGCTGCACCAGGGGCGGCTGCACCAGGGGCGGCTGCTCCAGGGGCTGCTGCACCAGGGGCGGCTGCTCCAGGGGCGGCTGCACCAGGGGTGGCTGCACCAGGGGCGGCTGCTCCAGGGGCGGCTGCACCAGGGGCGGCTGCTCCGCGCGCCCCCCCCCCCCCCGGGTCGCCACGTAAGGCGACGGGAAAAGGGGGGGGGGCGGTGCACGGGCCCCTGGTGCACCACGACCGGCATGAGGGGGGCGGGGCCTGGGCAGGGTCGGGGCATGGCAGGGGCAGGGCCGCGATAGGGCCGCGACAGGGTCGGGGCAGGGCCGTGACAGGCTCGGGACAGGGGCGGCGCAGGGCCGGGGCAGGGCCGGGGCAGAGCTGGGGCAGGGCCGGGGCAGGGTCGGAGCAGGGCCGGGACAGGGCCGGGGCGAGGCCGCGACAGGTCCGGGGCAGGGCCGGGGCCGGGCCGCAGCAGTGCAGGAGCAGGGCAAGGGCAGGGCAGGGGCAGGGTAGGGGCAGAGCCGGGACCGGGTCGGAGTAGGGCCGTAGAAGGGGCCGGGACAGGGCTGCGACGGGGCCGCAGCAGGGCCGCGACAGGTCGGGGTAGGGCCGGGGCAGGGCCGGAACAGGGCCGCAACAGGGTGGGTGGGGGCCTCGTTACGAGGCCTTACAGCTCCAGTACCTCCAGTACAAGAACCTCCGGGACCAGCGGCTCCAGTACCTCCAGCAGCTCCAGCTCCAGTACCTCCAGCAACTCCAACTCGTGCAGCACCACCAGCTCCAGCAGCTCCAGTACCTCCAATATCAGCACCTCCGGGACCAGCGGTTCCAGTACCTCCAGCTCCAGTGCCTCCAGCGGTAGACCCCCCGGCTCCAGCAGCGCAACTCCGAAGGCGGGTGCGCCGAGCAAACCACTCGCGCAACTACGGTGGAGAGAGAGGCTCCTGCCGCGACAAGACACCCGGAGGACCTCCAGTAGACAAAGTACCCGCAGGCTCAGTACGCTCAAGCGCAGCACCCCCAAACTCCACACCCTCAGACTCAGCACCCCTAGGCTCCGCACCCTCAGGCTCAGCACCCCTAGGCCACGCACCCCCAGGCTCAGCACCCCCAGACCCCGCACCCTCAGGCTCCTAATTGAGTGGTACCCCTTATGGGCACACAATAGATCACAGTACAAGCAAATTCAAGCAGTGAGCAAGTGAGGCAAAGTAGGCACAAGGCCTAACACAGTAGAGAAACGCTGATGATCACCAGGCGGAAGTGCCTTGGTGAATATATCAGCAGTGTTGGCCCTAGTGGTCACGTACGCAAGACGAAGCTGGCCACGCTGCTGCAACTCTCGAGCAAGGAAGTATCGCAGAGCGATGTGCTTCGTTCAATGCTCCACTCTGTGCTCCTGACACAAGGCAATCATGGCCTTGTTGTCTACGTACAGAACTGGAGGCGAACGAGGCTGCTCTCCCAAGTCAGTCAGTTGGTAGGTGGGCTCGCGTAGCTCCTATGCAGCCATGGCCCTGGCGTAGATCTCAGCCTCACAACTGGAGCTGAGAACCAAAGACGAGCGGGTAGACCGCCAGGAGACAGAGCCAGAGCCAAGTCTGAAGATGTAACCCTGTGACGATCGCTGCGTAGCTGAGTCGTCAACCCAGGAAGCGTCTGCGTGACCGGTGAGGACAGCTGGACCCCGTCCTCCAAGCACGAGCCCCATGCCCGACGTACTGCACAAGTAACGCAGTACCCTCTTCGCAGCATCCCAGTGCACCTTTTGGTGCCTGCCGGGAGCCATGTAGTGAGCCACGAGGCTGAGAGGGTACACGAGTTCGGGTCGAGTGCACGTCATCAGATACATGAGGCAACCCACAAGCTCTGGGTACGGACCACTCGGCTCTACGGACTTGTCTGAAGGTGGAGCTGAGAGCGAGTGACTGGTAGACAGAGGAGTGGACTATGGCGAGGAGAACTGGAAGCCAAAACGCTGAAGGACCTGGTGCACCATGTCTGACTGAGTCAGGGTAATGGTGCGCCGAGCTCTGTCCCGGGTGATCTGCAAGCCAAGATAGCTGCGCAGTTCACCCAGATCAGTGCAGGTGTGTCTCTTCTGCAGCTCCGACTTCACAAGGGTCAGTGCCTCAGTGTCAGCAGAGGCAAAGACGAGGTCGTCGACGTAGACGAGGACGTAGAATGGCGGCAGCGAGGTGTCGGTGCGTAGAAACAGCGACGGGTCAGCAGTAGCAGGAGCAAACCCAAGAGCCGCAAGTGTAGTCCTTAGTGTGTCGTGCCACTCGTGAGGCGTCTGGCGGAGACCGTAGACTGGCCGTTGAAGACTCCACTGAGTACTTGCAAGAAAAGACTCAGTGAAACAAGGTGGGCGGTGCAACCAGATCTCCTCGTGCAGGCTTCCCTGCAGGAACGATGTGCTGAAGTCCAGAGAGTGCAACTCGTAGTCACGCTGAGCAGCGACGTGCAGCAACACCCGAAGAGTATTCATCTTTGGGGTGGGGGAGAAGGTCTGCAAGTAGTCAACTCCCTGTCGCTGAGTGAAGCCTCTAGCAACGTAACGCGCCTTGAAGGCAGGCGGAGAACCCGGCGGCCGCTTCACCCTGAAGATCCACATGCCATCGACTATGTTCGCCCTAGGTGGGGGAACCTCGTCGACGTAGGTGCCTGTGGACTTTCAGGATGCCATCTCGGCATCCATGGCTGCCTGACACTGTGAGGAGTAAGGAGCAGTAATCGCCTCTGCGTAAGAGCGCGGGGTCGGGATGTTTGGTGCATCCGGGTCTCCCTCAGGGCCAAGCAGCATGGAAGCGAAACAAGGTACAGCAGCTGCAAGACACTCAAAGTCCTCCTGCCTGTCCTCAAGGACGTCCGTGCCAAGAGCACACTCACCCCCGACGGACGGAGGACCGGCAGACGTAGACTTAGTAACGAGAGCAGTGGTGTAGTCCAGACGGCAGGCAGTAGCAAAGTCAAGCAGCTCAGCAACGAGAGCAGACGCAGCAGCAGACTCAAACGAAGGGTCTGTGTCAGCAGTGGCGAGGAGACGAGAGACAGTGGGACTGACAGTACGAGCGCGGTCAGAATCAGGGTCAGGGACCTCAGGAAGAGAGGACTCAGGAGGAGCAGGCAGAGAAACACGCTGAGGAACAGAGGAAGGACGAAGGGTCATAGCGTGCGTGGCGGGGACAGGAGGAGGACGCGAACAAGGAACCCGACGAGCAGTGCGAACAGGCAAGACAGGACGAGACGCAGGCTTACGACGCTCTGTAAGACCGCCGAACTGCTCAGTGTAACGAGAAGGAGCAGGCAGTGGAGAGGCCGGTTGTAATGGCGGCTGAGACTGGTAAGGCGGGGGACACAGGGGGGGAGGAGTAAGGGCAGTAGAAGACGGGGTACTAAGAACCTGCTGGAGGAGGGGAACGAAGTACGGTCGCGGCCGCACAGCGCCACCAGGGTCAACAGCTCCAGCTCCTCCAGCTCCAGCACCTCCAACACCAGAGCCTCCAACTCCAGCGCCTCTTGCGCCAGTGCCTCCAACTCCAGCTCCTCCAGCTCCAGCGCCACCAGCGCCAGTAGCACCAGACTCCGGAAGGTCTCTAGCTCAAGCACCCTCAACACCACCAGTCCCGGCAGCTCCAGTACCCCGGGTACGAGCACCTCCAGGACCAGTGGTCGTAGTACCTCCAGTAACACCAACTCCAGCAGCAACTCCAGTACCTCTAGCTCCAGCAGCGCCAGTACCTCCAGCTCCAGAAGCTCCACTCCGAAGGCGTGTACGCCAAACAAACCACTCACGCAACTGCTGCGGAGACAGTCTCGGCGAAGCACCAGCAGAACCTCCAGCTAGAGCAGCACCCTGAGGCTCCACACCTCCAGACTCCGCACCCTCCGACGTAGTACCCCCAGGCTTAACACCCTCAGGCTCAGCACCCCCAGGCTCACCACCCCTAGTCGCAACACCCTCAAGCTCAGCACCCCCAGTCTCAGCACCCTCAGACTCCGCACCCCCAGGCTCCGCACCCCAAGACACAGCACCCCCAGACGCAGCACCTCGAGGAGCACCTGAGCCGACAGCTACCTGAACAGGCGCAGGATCAGGGAGAGGGTCTACCTGAGACACACCTGAGGGAGCAGGACCCTGGGGCGGGAGGGGGTCTACCGGAGGGGGACAGGGAGCAAGGAAGAGCGGCGGGGGCGCGGGAGGAGCAGAGCGGTAGGGGAAGAGATGCTAAAAGGGAACTGACTCGTCAAACGTGACGTCCTGAGAAGGGAAGACATGGCGCGAGGTGGGGTGGTAAAACTGCCAGCCAGGCGCGTCAGGGACAAAGCCAAGGAAGACGCAGGGGATAGCACGGGCGGAGAGCTTGTCCGCGGACGTATCGCGAACAAAGGTACGAGAACCCCAGACCCGGAAAACCGACGCATCGCCAACCTCCCCCGTCCAACGCAGTGTGGGCGAGGTCTCCGGCAAGGAGACACGGGGCCAGAGGTTGAGCTGATGCGCAGCGTACCGGACTGCAAACGGCCACAGAAAATGGGGAGCAGCCGCATGGATCATGGAGGTACGAGCGACCTCCATGACTAAGCCAATGCGGCGCTCAGCAATCCTATTTTGCTGAGGGGAGTCCGGAAGCGTGAACGACTGGAAAATGCCCTCCCCACGACAAAAGTCCCACAAGAGGTTGGATGAGTACTCACCACCCCTGTCAGAGTGCAGACGCAGGACAGGAAGGTCCTGGCCGAACTGCTCGCGGAGCTGGAGACGGACTGTGCGGATCCAAGGGATCAAGACATCAACGACCTGACCCTTGCTGCGCAAGGGGAAGACCGTGGTGTACCGCGTGTAGTCATCAACTACCAGCAGAAAGTAGCGCTCGCGGCTCTGACCACTGACGCGGGCTGGGCCCCACACGTCCATGTGGAGAGTCTGCAGGG